TGGGCCAAAGCTGAGATCGTCCAACTCTGCAGAGAGATGAATGCATGGATCAACAGTGTGGAGCATCAAAGGGAGCAGCAGATTACACTCTACATATACCACCACCACCAGGTCCAAGAGCTCCAATCTGAGAAACATCAACTCGAGGAAAATGTTGATCCATTATTAAAGTTGAACGCCCAACACCAAGAAGAGATCACACATCTTAAGGAGCAGATCAAGGAAAGAGACAGTGGACGTTTAGCCCATGAGATGGAAATAAGGCACCTCGCAGAATCCAAAAAGGCCCTACAAATGGAGCATGAACTGATGGAGGACCAAGTCAGCAATGTTGAGGCCCACGAAGAGGTCTGCCCTCCGTCTGTGTTGGATAACTTAGATGCAGATATCTTTAAAGTCGATTCCCAGCCATCACTGGAGGACAATACTGATGAGCATCTTCAGATTTCACCTGTGTGTGATGAAAAAGATCACCACGATGAATTCCAACTTGAAAAGGAATCACTGTGCACCAGTGATGTTACCTCAGCTGGCAGTTCAGTCATTGGTCAACCTGAACTTCCTTATCAGTTAGACAATCATTTGACTTCTTCAAGTTTTGATGAAGCCATCTATGTTTGTCTTTTACCTAACATCGACAGTATTGACTTTGAAGAGTTAGATACAGAAGAGCGGGAACTTGAAACCTTGGATCCAGAGGGCGTCAGTGATTTTTCCTCAATAGGAAACATTGTTGAATCCAATAACGAGGCTTATGTCTGCACAGCGTCATCCGAAAGCGCCGAGATCCCTTCAGTTTTTGATGATGTGGAGATAGACAGACTGTGCAGAGTGTCTGGACTATCATACAGTTACATACAACAGCTCATGTCAGCGTCCCAAACCTGTCTTCAGGTCGAGTCTACTGAACAGAATACAGCTACTCCACGTACTTTCCAGAGAAATGAATTGAATTTGGCATTTGAAATCTTCACAGTAGAATCACACACCACTCTGTCAGAGAATGGTCATATCCTTGACGCGCTCTTGAAAGTTTAGACAGTGAAGATGAGAGTGAACAAGTATTTTTTGACGCTCTTGAAAGTTTAGACAGTGAAGATGAGAGTGAAAAAGTATTTTTTGACGCTCTTGAAAGTTTAAACGATGGAGAGGAAACATTTAGTAGAAGGACACAAGCTCATCGTAGTAGGTCTTTAGCCCGTCGACTTGTCAGATCTGTGGGGTGGGGGTTGTTTTGTCTGAGTAGTTTAGCAGTGGCTGCAGCCGTGGTCTTTATCGTGAGCACTAACTTTATGCACTGCTGGATTGTAACTGACCTCGACCACGTCACTGTCGAGATGTCCTTGCCGCTGTACTAAATCACAAGACAATAGTGTGCGGTGCTTGTGAGGGGGGGTGTACTAGGCAAAGTAGGGAATACTGATTAATTTATTACTTTGCCTGGTCATTTCAGACATTGTTTAGAATATCTATATTTTATAGAATGTCTGATTATCTACTTTGCCAACAGTAGTAATAGTAGAACATAAGGGGTGGATGGAGACGTAGGTACGAGGGATTGCTGTTTATTTGTCACAATGTCTTATTCGTGTGTTACATTAATAAATTAAATTATTATTGTTGTTGTTGTTAATAATGATAAAAATAATAGTTATTATTAGAGTTGTTATTTATTATTATTATTATTAACTAAAAATATATAATAAAAATATTAAAACAATAAAAATAGTTTATGTGAATGTGTGCTGTTTGTTACACTGAAACGTCCATGGACATGCTCCGGAAGATTGTTGCCTAAGGAAGAACATTTGAGGCCCTTCTCCAGCCCAAATAAGTCCAGTCTGCAGAGATAAAAGCCTTCTGACAGTAAGGACACATGTGCAGTGCAATAAAAACATGCTTTTATTTGAGAAAGTTACATATTGTGGCTTTTAAATACACAAATGAATCTACATATGTTCTGGTTTAATTTTAAAAACCCGAAAAAGCACAATAGGTCTCTGCATAAAAACAGAAACACTGATGAGAAAGAAAAGAAATGGTACAGAGAGAGAGAGACACACAGAGACAGACAGAGATAGAGAGAGACATAAACTTGCTGAAATGATACAGTAGGCCTGTGTACCTTTTGTGTTTAGGGCCATGAGGGGCCCTCACCTGAAGATGTTTGTTTGCTTAGTTCCATATTTCCCACTCTAGACCCACATCAGTTTGCACACTGGTCAAACAGATCCACAGAAGATACAATAACCATCGCCCTAACTGTGCTGAAACACCTTGAGAAACAGGAGAGTTATGTCAGGATGCTCTTCACTGACTACAGCTCAGCTTTTAACACAGTAACACCAGACATCCTGATCCTGATGTATTCCCCTACAGATTACAGATTACATACCCCAAAATGTAGTTTGTAACAGAATCCATTAAATTACTTAAAGTGAGTAATGTAATCTGAATACTTTGGATTACTTGATTTGCTGTAGAGAAGCAAAGACCAGGAAATCTTCACATAAGAAGTTTTGTCTGATAAAAGAAAATGAAAGGGTTTTACTGAACCGTATTAAAAATATTATTGATAGAAGAGGAGGACACATGGTCCACGCAGCATGATTTAGTCCTGTTAAATACTGGTTTAGTCCTTGTTTAGACCTGGTTTTAGACCTGCTTTAGTCCTGGTTTAGTCCTGTTAAATCCTGTTTTAGACCTGGTTTAGACTGGGTTTAGTCCGGGTTAAGTCCTGCTTTAGTCCTGGTTTTAGACCTGGTTTAGTCCTGGTTTAGTCCTGCTTTAGTCCTGGTTTTAGACCTGGTTTAGTCCTGCTTTAGTCCTGGTTTTAGACCTGGTTTAGTCCTGCTTTAGACCTGGTTTCAGACCTGGGTTTAGACCTGGTTTAGTGTCCGGCAATGAGTGGAATTACCGAGAAAAAAAAAAGGAAAAAAAAAAAGAAAAAAAGGGGGGATATAGCCCCAAATGTGAAAACAGGAAAATACTGCAGTGTAATCCATTTATTTCAACAAAGTAACTGTAATCCAATTACCACTCACTGAAACAGTAACTGTAACTGAATACAGTTTGTACTCTGATTACGTAACTCCGGTACATGTAATCTGTTACTCCAACACTGGGTACGGACCGGAGCAGAACAGTGTCTTTAGGCGACGTAGGACTAACCAACATGATCAGGCCTATTCACTTGAGCCTACTCCACGCTCCTGTCCCGGCGTCCAATCAGCGCGCTGGTCCCACCTCCCTCCGGTTCTTCAGGGAGAGACATCTGACGTGGCACCGGGGCGCGCATCACTGCTCCGCGGCCGCTCCTGAGTGCTCCTCCGCCGGCTCTCCTCTCACACTTTCAGCGGGGACACACGCGGGAGAAGCCGAGACATGTGGCTGGTGGTCCTGCTCAGCCTCCTCCAGAGCGCCGCGGCCTACGACGTGGACCCGGAGAAGCTGCAGGGACTGGCCAAAGCCCGAGTGGAGGTACGCGCAGAGGCCGGGGGACGGGGTGCGTGAGCCGGGGAGGGAGCAGCGTGACGGGCGGAGGGGAAATGCTGCTCCGGTGCGCGTGTTGAGGGCAGTTAGAGGAGAACTGAGGTCAAAAATGTTAGGAAATGTGCGTTTTGGAGAAGTGGCGTAAAGCGCATGCGTAAAAGATGTAGGAAGCAGATGTAAACAGAAGTGATCATGTCTCAGAAGTGTGACGAAAAGAACCGACTAAACCAGGTCTAAACCAGGTCTAAAAAAGGTCTAAACCAGGACTAAACCAGGACTAAACCAGGACTAAACCAGGACTAAACCAGGACTAAACCAGGACTAAACCAGGACTAAAACCAGTTAGCCTAAATCAAGAGATGGAGAGGTGTAAATCAATCAGAACTAAACCAAAAAAAAAAAAAATGTTTTAACTAGGATTAAACCAGAAAGGACTAAACTGGGACTAAACCGGAAAGGACTAAACCGGAAAGGACTTAACTAGTACTAAACCAGGACTAAACTGGAAAGGACTAAACCAGACAGGACTAAACCGGGACTAAAACCAGTTGGCCTAAATCAAGAGATGGAGAGGTGTAAATCAGAACTAAACCAAAAAAAAATCTAAACCATTAAAGACTAAACAAGAAAAGACTAGACCAGAAAGGACTAAACCAGGACTAAACTGGAAAGAACTAAACCAGGATTAAACAAGGACTAAAAAAGAAATGAAAACAGGACTAAAACTGACTAGACATAATCCAGGAACAGGAGGATGAGAAGAATAAAACCAGGGAGTAAAAACAAAGCATAGACTAAACCAGGATGAACCCAGGACTTGAACCCACAACTGAACCTGACGAACACACACATTAAAGAAGAAGAATGAGGAAGACTCTGAAGTACAGAATTCATGAGGCACTAGGGCTGCGTACTTACAAAAACCTCCTGATACATAGATCCTGTTCGAGGGTCCACTGAACCATCCTCACACACTTTTCCAGCTCCACACACTCCGCCTTAAAGCTGCACTGTGAGACCTTCTGGTGGAGGGTGTGTGACCTTCTAGTCTCCATGGAGATGTTATCTTTCCATGGAATCACATGTTTTTAATTACAGGTTTTTAATGCTGATAAATACTTACAGTGTGCAGGGTGCCTCTCCACAGAGCTGAGCAGTAACTTGGTCTACACTGACACCTGTTTGTCACCATGAAAATAAGAGTTTCAGGGTTCCCACGCTCATGGAAATCTAATGGAAAAGTTATGGAAATTGAAAATGTCATTTTACAGGCCTGGAAAAGTCCTGGAATTTTAGTCTCTCTTTCGTCCACGCTCCAGTGTTCTGTTAAATTCTCATGAGACTATTCTGATTATTTCTGAATGTCTGCGTTTGTTGTTGTTTGTTTTAAAGAGATGCTTTATAGATGCAGTGAACAGTTTTTAAATATCTGTTTGTTTGTTTTTTATAAAGAAGTATTTTATGGAGCTAAATTATTCCCTGATTGTGGGGAAGATGGACTGGCGTGGGTAGTGTTGTGTTTTAGTTTTAGTTTTTCCTCGAGTGAAGCAGAAAAAAAGGGCCACTGTCGGTGTGAATGTTCATGTGTGTGAGCTAAATGCACTGAAAGGATTTAGAATGTTCAAAAACTATAATCCCAAACCATAAAGTGAGTGGAAAGAGTGAACATTTTATATTTAGCCCTAAAAGTCTGATGTAGGTGCCATAAAGTCATGGAAAATTCACTTTAGGTCATGAAAAAGTCCTGGAAAAATTTTGAAATGTTGTCAGTGAAAAAGAGTGGAGGCCCTGGAGGTTTAATGCCATACTGTGGAAGTTTCCAGGCAAATTTGTCGTTTTTATGAAGCCCTGCAGATGTAGGACCAGAATGTGTAGTGCGTCTTAAACACAGAGGTCAACAGGCGTGTGTAAGAAAATCTCAGAAAACCTCCTAATATGGGCCTTTAAATGACGTTGTAAATGCGTTATACCACAGAGCAGGCGTCTCCAACCTTTTTCCTCCCGTGAGCCTTTACAAAACAGAACCAGAATCAGAATTTATTTGTTATTTCAGTATAAAAAAAAAATATACAGAAACGAAATACTGCAATCAGGTCCAGGTCAACAGTAGCATAGATAATAATAATAAGAATAAATAGTTAAAATATTGTATGTCAGATACAGTCTTTAAAAAAACAACCCCCACCTGCCCCCGTTTTCTAAAGTGCGTTCCAAGTCAGCGCTGTTTTGTAAGGTGATTTTTAGTGGGCACAAGAGATAGAGATGATTTATTTTGTACGATCATAAACGAAAGCAAAAATCCTTACATTTTTCATTCTTATTACTGTTTATTTGTACGACCATAAACTATAAACTTTGTGCCTTCTTTATTACTATTATTAGCTTGTACGACCATAAATGAAAACAAAAATTCTTAAATTTTTTATTCTTATTACTGTTTGTTTTGTACAATCATAAACAATAAACTTTTGTGCCTTCATCAGTAATACTATTAGTTTGTACGATCATAAACGAATACAAAAAAATCCTTACATTTTTCATTCTCATTGCTGTTTATTTTATACGACCATAAACGATTAACTTGGTGCCTAGATTAATATTATTATTAGTTTGTATGACTACAGACGGAAATATGTTTCTGCATGTATGTATATGTTGTTATGCATATGTGTGTAAACATTTATATTGAGTATATGAATATGAATGAAAAGTATAAAAAGTGAACCACGTGATTATGTAAAACACTTGGGGTAGGGACTCCATAAGTTTTTTAAACTTCATCCTCCTCCTTTTGAGCACCAGGTCCCAAATATGTTCATGTATATATCACTATTTTTGTTACTGTTTTTGAATTTTGTTGTACCTGGCTCAAACTAAGAAATAAATGAATGAATGAAAGAAAGAAAGAGGGCAAACCTTGGGGCACAGTTAGATGCCTGTAAAACATCAACCACTGTCCATTTATTAGTGCACAAAGTTGGGCTTCAATAAGATACATTTACAAAGATAATAGGCCTGTAATTAACCACACTTTTGTTTTTCAGCGTAATGGCATAATTCCAAAATCCCTTGTTGAGCTACTTGGAAAGGGTCATCACACACAGACCTGGACTTCTGTTTAGTTTCATTCCCACATGTTTAACACACAAACCCTGCACATTTAGGCTGAGTAATACAGAAAATGCTCTATTGTGTTTTTAAACTCCGCACACCTTCACTAGAACGCTTAGATATGAACGCAACGTAATCGATCTCTACTGAAAAAAAGTCAAAGCTCGCTGTTAACTTGTAAACTACCACTACATGACATCACAAGGTGGAACAGAGCATTTTGAGCTTTGAAAATGTAAATAGACTCATAATAACACAGAATTACAGAACTGTGAATGAAACAAAACACAAATCCATATGTGTTTTTGAGGAGGAAACATTATAACACGACTTAAAGCTCACAAGAGTGGATTTGATGTAGGAAGTTTAATTTACATAAATTCTAAGTAGAATTAAGTCAGGATGTGTTAGTTTAATGTCGTATCAATATTTAGAACTGTCCTACTGTGGCTGTGACATAAAAAACCAGTAGAATCACATTATCTGCCGAGGAGACACGCAGAGAGATGTGGAGAGGCACAGGTGGCAGGCTCCGATTGGCTGACAGGGAGCGACAGGTGCCAGGAGGCAGGGTCATTGTGAAGCCCAACTATGCGTTCCCTCCTCGTCTGAATGCGGGCGGGGCCGGTCCCTCGGGGCAGTCACATGATCCCGTCACATGACCTACATCAGATCTGCGCTTATTGTCGTGTTATTGTTGTAAAGCCTGGGCTCTCCTCGGCTCTGTCCTAGAAAACACAAAGACGAGGCTCATTCTTCAGCCTGAGGTGTGTCTTCATGTCCCGTATACTCGATCTGATCCCCACCACACGCTCCCATTCTGTCCTTCTCTCTTTCCCACTCTCTCGCTCCCTCTTTCGTTCTCCCTCTCTGCTTTGGGGCTCCACAAATCGTCCAAATGATGATAAAGTTTTCGAGAGTCGACTAAAGACATGCTCCAGGCTGCAGTCAATCATCTGGAGAGGGACTGTGCCACTGGCAAACTGTAAAACATGCTTTTACTGACAGAGGACTGGCTGAATGTCACTTTAACAGGAGTCCCAGGTTAGACTGCTGAGACTGAGAGCTCGTCCTGGAGGAACAGCAGCAGGAGCAGGAACAGGAGGAGCAGGAACAGGAGGCGTAGGAGGAGGAGAAGGAGAAGGTGGATGGATGTCGGCGTAGTTTAGTTCAACACCTGTGGCCTAACGCTGGATTAAACAAAATCCTCAGAGTGACTAAACGTCCATGTTAGAACCTGATCTCAGATGTGTTTTGCTGAGCAGAGCAGGGCCTGGTCAGTACATGGATGGGGGTTTGACGAGAAAGACGCAGGTGCCACTGGGGCAACAGTGGCTCTAATGAAACTGCTGTTGTGTACTTAGGCAAGACACTTCAGCTTCACCTTGCTGGTGCGTGTGTGTGCACCCGTGTGTGTGTTTATGTGCGTGTGTGTTTACGTGTGTGTATGTTTTGTGTGTGTGCGTGCGTGTGTGTTTATGTGTGGGTTTACGTGTGTGTGGGTGTGTGCATGTGTGTGTTTTGTGTGTGTGCGCGTGTGTGTGTGTGTGTGTGTGTGGGTTTACGTGTGTGTGTGTGTGGGTGTGTGCATGTGTATATGTGTGTGTGTGCGTGCGTGTGTGTTTACGTGTGGGTTTGCGTGTGTGTGCGTGTGTGTTTACGTGTGGGTTTACGTGGGTGTGTGGGTGTGTGCATGTGTATATGTGTGTGTGTGTGTGTGGGTTTACGTGTGGGTGTGTGCATGTGTGTGTGTGTGTGTGTGTGTGTGGGTTTACGTGTGGGTGTGTGCATGTGTGTGTGTGTGGGTTTACGTGTGGGTGTGTGCATGTGTGTGTGTGTGTGTGGGGGTTTACGTGTGGGTGTGTGCATGTGTATGTGTGTGTGCATGTGTATATGTGTGTGGGTGTGTGCGCGTGTATGTGTGTGTGTTTACGTGTGGGTTTATGTATGTGTGAGTGTGTGTGAGTGCGTGCGTGTGTGCGTGTGTGTGTGTGTGTGTGCGCGTGCATGTGTGTGTATATGTGTGTGGGTGTGTGGGTGTGTGCGCGTGTATGTGCGTGTGTGTTTACGTGTGGGTTTATGTGTGAGTGTGTGCGTGCGTGTGTGTATATGTGTGTGGGTGTGTGTATGTGCGTGTGTGTTTACGTGTGGGTTTATGTGTGTGTGTTTGTGTGTCTAGAGTGTGTGTGCGTGTGTGTGTTTGTGTGTCTGTGTGTGTGTGAGTGTGTGTGTGTTTGTGTGTCTAGAGTGTGTGTGTGTTTGTGTGTCTAGAGTGTGTGTGTGTGTGTGTGTGTGTGTGTAGAGTGTGTGGTACAGGTGCTCTACTGTCAGAGGTTGATACAGATTCATTGTTTTCAGGATCCTTCTTCATTCGTTCCACACTGTGGCTGACTGAAAATCTAAGGCTCTAAACACACTTCACACTTGAGCATTTACACACATGTGACCTCCTGAAACCACAGGCTGGACTCTGCGTTTCTCAATGGAAAAGCAGACCAACCTTGACTGGGTGTGTTTATGCACTTGTAACAGTGAACCCAGCGACTGAATAGAATTTGATCAAACTGAGTCGTCACTATTGAATCCTACAAGTTTTATCACAGGTTTCTACTAATGTCACAAACTCAATTTCAAACTCAAGGAAAATGCTCCATATCAAATACTTTCTTTCTTTTTTCCTCATGTTCTATAGTGGACAGTGGCTGATTTAAAATGAGAAAGTGTTTTTATACTCGTTCTGATTTAGATCAACACCATTTAAAACTCTTCAGGATTGTTTAATGTTGTGTTTTTTCTTCTAGTAGTAATGTGTGTGTAGTGTGTCGGTGTGTGTGTCCATGTGTGTGTCCATGTGTGTGTGTTCTAACGTGCTGTTGTGTTGTTGTTGCAGACGTGTGGAGGATGACAGCTGAACCGCCTCAGAGAGGTGAGGCCACTGCAACAATCTCACACACGACTTTCACATACCACATCTCCACTTTCACCTCACCTCTCTCTCTCTCTCTCTCTCTCTCTCTCTCTCTCTCTCTCTCTCTCTCTCTCTCTCTCTCTCTCTCTCTCTCTCTCTCTCTCTCTCTCTCTCTCTCTCTCTCTCTCTCTCTCTCTCTCTCTCTCTCTCTCTCTCTCTCTCTCTCTCTCTCTCTCTCTCTCTCTCTCTCTCTCTCTCTCTCTCTCTCTCTCTCTCTCTCTCTCTCTCTCTCTCTCTCTCTCTCTCTCTCTCTCTCTCTCTCTCTCTCTCTCTCTCTCTCTCTCTCTCTCTCTCTCTCTCTCTCTCTCTCTCTCTCTCTCTCTCTCTCTCTCTCTCTCTCTCTCTCTCTCTCTCTCTCTCTCTCTCTCTCTCTCTCTCTCTCTCTCTCTCTCTCTCTCTCTCTCTCTCTCTCTCTCTCTCTCTCTCTCTCTCTCTCTCTCTCTCTCCTCTCCCTCGTCACCCTCATGTTTCTCTCTGTGTGTTTGCAGGTCAAGGCCTTCGTGGTCCAGGACATTCCTCTGTAGTATCCTTTCCTCCCTCAGGGTCACACACACACACACACACACAGCTCAGTGTGTGACTGTACACACCACAGCAGTCGTCCAAAGTCTGGGCCAATATATTGTACAATATAAAAGTTAAGGCTATGCAAAAATATTGAAATATCGATATATCGTATCGTTTAATGTGATGATGTAGTATCAATATCGTGGGCTGCTGTATCGATATATCACCAAGAGTATTTTTTGGTATATTATTTTGTTACAGCTACAGTTTTGTTCCTTGTTTATTGGAAGGGAAAAAAATTCACAGTTTTAATGATTCAAATGTTTCATATGTGTTTCCTTTGAAAACACCAAATTTTGACAGTTATTTCATGTTTGTTCTTCAAATTCCGTTCACTTCAGCTAACAGAAAATGAGATGTTAATGACATTTACTCTTATTTTACAATGATTTCTACTTGAGTTTACCAAATATTTTTTACTCATACTCATACATTTGTACTTATACCAGAGTAACATGATTTTGAAGTAACTTTTACGTAAAATGTTTGTCTTTTGTACCCTCCTCTGGTTAGAAAACATTCCAAGCATGGAGACTTAAACATATTTTTTAATCTGTGTTAAAGTTGCAGTCTACCTGGAGTTGGTTTTGTTTCATTCACTGATTCAGTGAGAGGTAATTGGATTACAGTTACTTTTTTGAAATAAATGGATTACATGGCGGTATTTTCCTGTTTTCACATTTTGGGCTATATCCTTTTTTTTTTTTTGTAATTCCACTCATTGCCGCACACTAAACCAGGTCTAAACCAGGTCTAAACCAGGTCTAAACCAGGTCTAAACCAGGTCTAAACCAGGTCTAAACCAGGACTAAACTAGGACTAAACTAGGACTAAAGCAGGATTAAAACCAGGTCTAAAACAGGATTTAACAGGACTAAATCATGATGTGTGGACATGTCTCCTCTTCTTCTATCAATAATATTTTTAATTTAGTTCAGTAAAGTTTGGACTTTTTATTTTCTTTTATCAGACAAAACATCATGTGAAGATTTCCTCGTCTTTGTTTCTCTACAGCAAATCAAGTAATCCAAAGTATTCAGATTACATTACTCACTTTAAGTAATTTAATGGATTACGTTATAAACTACATTTTGGGGTATGTAATCTGTAATCTGTAGGGGAATACATTTTAAAAGTCACCTTCCCAACACTGCATGTGGCGATACAGGAAGTGCTCCACTAAATTCATCTGGATGATCTCAGACCTGCTTAAGATTTGGAGATGAAGACAGACTAATAATAAAGAGTCACTCAAACATGTGAATGAAACAAAACACAACTCCTCCTCAAAACTGTTTTTGAGGAGGAAACAACATTAGAACGTGACTTTGGTGTAGTACAGGACCTTTAACACATCTGATGGGGAAGACAGTCTGCATTGTGTTGTATTTGTATGAGTGTATATGTGTTGTATTTGTATGAGTGTATATGTGTGTTGTATTTGTATGAGTGTATATGTGTGTATTTGTATGAGTGTATATGTGTGTATTTGTATGAGTGTATATGTGTTGTATTTGTATGAGTGTATATGTGTGTATTTGTATGAGTGTATATGTGTTGTATTGTGTGTATATGTGTGTATTTGTATGAGTGTATATGTGTTGTATTTGTATGAGTGTATATGTGTGTATTTGTATGAGTGTATATGTGTGTATTTGTATGAGTGTATATGTGTTGTATTTGTATGAGTGTATGTATTTGTATGTGTATATGTGTGTATTTGTATGAGTGTATATGTGTGTGTATTTGTATGAGTGTATATGTGTTGTATTTGTATGAGTGTATATGTGTTGTATTTGTATGAGTGTATATGTGTTGTATTTGTATGAGTGTATATGTGTTGTATTTGTATGAGTGTATATGTGTGTATTTGTATGAGTGTATATGTGTTGTATTTGTATGAGTGTATATGTGTTGTATTTGTATGAGTGTATATGTGTGTATTTGTATGAGTGTATATGTGTTGTATTTGTATGAGTGTATATGTGTTGTATTTGTATGAGTGTATATGTGTTGTATTTGTGTATGAGTGTATATGTGTGTATTTGTATGTGTGTGTATGAGTGTATATGTGTGTATTTGTATGAGTGTATATGTGTTGTATTTGTATGAGTGTATATGTGTTGTATTTGTATGAGTGTATATGTGTGTATTTGTATGAGTGTATATGTGTTGTATTTGTGTGTGTGGAGCCTTAACCGTCCTCTCCCTCAGTCATAACCTGGTGATGAAGCACATTCCTGGAGCCGACCCGGAGCTCGTCCTGTTGAACCACTACTTCGAGGAGCTGGACGTGAGTCTGACCCGTAGTCTGACCGTATCACTGTGCTCCTTCAGCTCACACTTGAGCTCGCGTTACTCTGTCCAGATGTTTTATTGAGAGGCCGCGGCTCCAGTGGCTCTTGTGTTTCTTTTCCTCTGCCAAAACTTTGTCCCGTTTCAAGCCTTCCACCCTCTGACTGAAAATGAGCATTCAACCACTTCCCCTTTTGAGTTAAGAATGAAATGACCGCTAAGACTTTTCTCACTTTTCTCGAATGTTACCTTTCATTTCAACGCAAATATCTCCCTCAACATTCTATAGTGTATGTTATTCTGCAGTGTTTACAAATGACCAGCAGATGGAGCCTCTTACTTACACTTTTGATTCAACTTCAAACTGTTCAGTGTCCTTAAAGCTTTCACTTCTGCAACATTTACACTTCTTCATCCTGTTTACATTTTTATAATTTCCATCTGTTGTGCTTTGTCATACATCGATACTATTTTGTTTTTATCGTAGTGCAGGAGGTACCAGACTTTTTTCTCTGGGGGCCACATTATCTCTCCTGACTGTGACGGGGGTCGGGGTCGAGTCGGCCGTAGAGCAGAACTGTATGACCCTGACGACATAGATTATATGCTTTGAAAACTGCAGAGCGCCCTATACACCAATCCACTCCACTTTACTTCAGTAAACTACAAAGCTGCAGCGCACCAAACCTACACGGAGCAGACAGCGACCGCACAGCGAAACACACCCGCAGTCACACTCATCACTCCACGCCGACGAGGAACAGAACGAAGGAACGAACCGAAAAAGCGAGTGCAATGTGCCACTTCTAGACACAACTGAACAACTGAGTCACTGTGAACACGCCGACAATCCGTTGGTCCCAGACAGCACCCTCCCTACACGCCACAACTGAACAAAGCCCAGAGTCACCGTGAACGCCAACAAACAAACAAAACCACTCACCCATCACACTGTTGGGTTTCCTTTAAAGTCCAGTGCGGTTTATTGTGAAAAATTCTATGACATTCTATGACAGTGCGTCTTATAATCCAGATCGCCTAATAGTGCGGAAAATACGGTATTTAAAAAAAAAGATTCCATGACAATATTTGAGGATTGCCTCATAGGACCAGGTGGTGGGGGCAGAGGGCCTGGGGGGCCGGTCAAAGGAATATGGAGGGCCGCGGTTGGCCCGTGGGCCTTAGTTACTCAGCACATTTGTCAGCATGCTAGTGCACACAAACACAGATCATTGATTTATTTTGAATATTTATTCAAATGAACAGATTTTAAGGCAAGAAACTGCAGGTGAATTGGAAAAAATCTGAAATGTTATTTAGTATAAATAAAATAAATCTGACTGAAAATTTGCCTCAATTTTTGAAGTTAAACTTGAATAAATCAAACTTGGAATTAGATATAAAAAAAATCCTTCAGTACGTTTGGTCAAAATCTTGTGAAGTCCAAGAGTGTAAAGTCTGGTGTGTGTAGGAGCTGCTTCCTCATGTCCCTGTGAACGGTGCATTTTGAGATAAACAGTCTTTGAGTTTGAGTGTCTCTGTCTCATAGAACTCGATAGATGTGAGTTGATTAAATAAAGTTATGAAAAAGTTTTTGGTGCAGATTTGACAGTTGTGTTGTTTCCACATAAAAGCTTGTTGCTAAGAAATCAAACTGACCAAAAAAAACAAAAAAATGAAAACAGCAGATAAATAATAACATTAATGCCTGTAGTGTTTCCCTTTAAACTGAACATTGATTTTCTCTCTCTATCCTTGTGTCTCTTGATCCCTCTCTCCAGCGCATCCCTCTGACCGACATGACTCGCTCGGAGATCAACGATCTGCTCGACAAACTGGGCTTCTATAAGAAAGAGCAGCCGGAGGACGAGGTGCCAGCGGAGTTCAGGTTCTCCCCCGCCAAAGACAGTCCCTTCCCCGATGAGCCTCCGTTCAAGACGGCCGTGGCCTCGGAGCCCAAGGAGCCCGAGCACACCGACCTGTAGGGGGAGCCACTGCTGGTATGTGTCCAGTCTACTAGTCCATCTCAACATGTGAAGATCATGAAAAAGTGACATTTTTATGATTCTGGCCGATAATGAAACCCCAAAAGTCTAAAAACTGATATTTTAAATCGGCTTCTGAAAAGTGTGCTTGCTTTGATGGTGACCTTCAGATCATCTGCATTACTGTGTCTGGTCTCTCACAGGACCAAGTCATTGTTTTGTGAGTCTCAAATAAATCTCAAGTCTTTGACCTCAAGTCTGAGTCAAGTCCCAAGTTAAACACAGGCAAGTCCAAGTCGAGTCTCGAGTCACTGGTCCATAAGTCCAAGTCAAGTCCAAGTCGTCTGCTTTGAGCTCCAAGTCCTGACTCATCCCTGTGTGTTGTAACATGGTTCAAAGTTTATGAAAGTTGTTTTGCTTAATGTCTCTTTTTAAATGAAATAAGGAAGAGCTGTTTCTCTGTCAAGATTTTCCATTTCACCAAGAGACACTCACTATTTCAGTCTTGAACTCTTTACATTTCTTTATAGAAAAATGTGTTTGTAACTTCTGCATTTCCTCACATGATTGACTGTGCTGTTTGGGCAAATCCAGATTTATTGAGCTCTCAAAGACCAAACAAAATGTAAACGTCTTGATGTAAAGTGTATTCCATAATCCATTCATCATGTTACATATCTCCAGTGTTTAAAGGTCCTGCACCTGATTTCAAATCAGGAGTCGGGAACGTGTTTTAGCTTGAAGTTTAACCCCGCCCACTTAGTCTTTTTAGTCACAGTGATATGACATCATGACAGAGACACTAGTGTCTGGGACAGTGTCATTTATGTGGTTGTTTCTTTATATGTTACATATCTCTCTTCTTTTCTTTTTGGTCTCTTTTGTAATTGCACCATAACAGAGAATATCTTAGTGTGTGGGAAAGCGTCAGGTTGTTAGTTTTATCAAACACTTCATAACAATGCACCTGTTGGATGATAAAAGGTGATGTAGTTGGTCATTTCTGCTGGTTCTGAAAGTCCAAATCTCATTCCAGGTTCTTTGGGTGAGTTTATAGTAAATTTAAATTACATAAGTTAAACATAATCAATATCGGCCCAAAAATATGAGCAGATCTTATCATCCCATGTTACTTTCTCTGGATTGGATAAACAATCAGCAGTGCCCATGAAAAAACAACCAAACATCTATTATGGTAAATGTTCACATTTTTCTATAGCGCTTTTCCACCTTCAAAGCAAGGAACCACTCACCCATTCACACACCAGTGTACGCAGACACTGTGGGCAAGGTGGGTTAAGTGTCTTGCCCAAGGACACAACAACAGCATTCACCAACTGAGCTACTGCCGCCCCTACTGCAGCAGGTCATTAAAGCCTTTCCTGAATCTTAAATGTGCTTTTCCCACTAAAACCTTAAGTCTATGAGGAAAATGAAAGGAAAACAATCTTTTGGAACCAGAGCGGCTCTGTCGAGCTCCTTCAGTTTATACACAACACAACAAAACTAAATAAAGTGATTGTATTTTCGGTGTCCATTTGATGTTTTTGTTCAGTTCTCCCACATGGTTCCTGATGTACAGAACTTTGATCTGGACCAGAGTCTGTCAACTCATTATTATGTTTATATCCATGAGCTGAGAAAAACCATTTCCTGAGTCTAGTGTTAATGTCTACTGCTCTCTCCACAGGCGCTGGGCGGGGAGTGCCGTCCTCCGTGAGCACCCATGGGTCCCTGCGTTGTGAGGAGCACCCTGAGTGAGCCTGCCGTGTCCCGCTGGCCCACACCCACGCCCAATGACGCCCCAGGCACAAAGCTCTGCATGTCTGAGGCCGACGCTCTGCTGGGGTGGGGCCGGCCAGGCACGCGGGACCTCAGGGGCCTGCAGGAAAACGGGTTCACTACAAACAAACGGCTTGTGATTTATTTGACTCTATTAAAGGGGACATGTGATGCACATTCTTGAGCTTTAAACATAGTTGTTGAATTGAGTAGTTTTTCAGGGACTCGTGTTCAGTTGACTCGAGTCCACATTTGTGCATCTGCCTTCATGACATGTTAACATCAGACTGACAGCACCATGCTGTGAATTCTTTTTACAGTGTTTTAGTGGAGCTGTTGCCAGCAAAGGGCATGTACATATTAAAGCCACAGTCTGTACCTTTTCAGCCCAAATTAGGCATGTTTTGGATTTTTCGTTTTGGATTTTTCATGTTGGTTGTATTATTGCACAGATCTATGGGCTTGCATCTCCATGTACCCGACTCTTATGTGGCTTAGCCTGCTTGTTTCCATGGAAATCTTCCACAGGATGATATAAAACTAGTCTGTCATTGTGTGTGGTTTTAACTTTCTATTTCCATGGAATCACACAGGTGACGTACTGTATCTTTAAGTTCTAAAACACAAATGATGCAAAGTGCAGGTTTCAAAGCTCAAAGTGCACAATGTGTCTCCTTTAACCTGGGAACACCACCTGACATTACACTGTTTATCTGATTCAAGTGAATAAAGTTGTGTGTGTCACTGATGTGTGTTTTTAATGACTGATCAGACTTTAGAAATGAGACAAACCTGTCGCCTCCAGTCAAACACAGAGCACAGAGACAGAGTAGGACACAAGTGACCAGTGTGAAACAATCCTGTGATTGTGTACATGGGACAATCCAGTATGTATTAATTCCCACTCTATAGTCAAACAAGAATAATCATATTTTTTAAAAAAAAAGACTCCGGTTCAGATTTTAAAACAGCAAGAGCGCAGGATACAAACTGTTCATTAAAATCATTGCCCTGTTTGTGTCATAACTTTGAAACTACACCCTTTAAAATTTACAAAACACAAAATCATAAACGCACAGAAAAATTCTCAAGAGAGTTTAATTATTCATTTACAAATGAAGTGGTGAAGACACGTGACATATGCTTCTATATACACAGCCCAACAGACTCACTTTAAACCGTCTGAAAACACTATACTCAAATCCTTTAGTTTCTTCTAAATGTACAGCCTCTTTCACTCACAAATATCTATCCAAATTAAACACAAAATCAGAACCATGTACATGCTAATCCAAAATATAAAACTTCTAAAATCTATGATAAATACATTTAAAATAGCCGTGATCCGTGAGGGCACTTCTGATGGAATTCAAAATGAATTAAATATTTAAATCTGAACAGGCACGGTCAAAACAAAGTGTCTTTGCTCTTAGCTTGGTAAAATCATAATGTATAAATAATTTTAAAAACAATTTCAAGCTGTGTTGGATAAAGTACCGGAAAGTTAGGAAAGCGCAGAGGTTTGATAAGGGCTGAGCAATATGTCGTCATAGCAACCCGAAAACCTAAATACCAATATTTTCTATGAATATTCCGTTAAGATTTTAAATAAGCTTATGAAATCTGTGCAGAAAGTTTCAAATATATCAGTTCTCATATTGGACAGCCCCTCTCAAGTGTGCGTACAAACGTTTAGTGAAGAGACAGGACAAAGAAAACTTTAAAAAAAAGTGACAACAATTTTAAGTTTAAAAAGATTTCAAAATTGTGAGCTGCAATATTGAAGAATATAATAATATTTCTGCGTTCTATATACAGCAGTTTGAGTTGGCCTGACACAGAAGTGGAGCTGAAAGAAGACGGTGAGTCTAAAGCTTGGGTTCGTTTTATACTGGTCTTTAAAGGTGCATTATGTAACATTTCTGCAGGAGGGACAAGGTTTTTCTTGAATATTGAATGTTGTATGGAATTAATTAACTATCTATTATTTCCATGGAGACAGGTGTGAGTTACAGGTCATATCTGTAGAGAGGAGAGCCTGTCTGGGGAGCATGGGTGATGTGGGCTTGTGGGTGGAGTGTTGAACAGAGACATGTAAAACCTCTTCAGGCATGTTTGTAGAAAGCTTAAAAAACCTCTCTCTTCTCTCTTTCTTTAACAAACAGCCCACCAGGAAAGTGACACAGTGCACCTTTAATGTCAGTGGAGGGACATGATGCTGGACACAGGTCAGGATGACCACAGAGCAGGACTATACACCACACAGATGATCTTTGTTCAGGTCAACGTTAGTGTTAAGGAGCTGTGCAGACTGAGTGTGAGCGCAGCCTGAAGAATACCAAAGGCTTCACACACGACAGACTGCTCTGTCAAACTAAAGGTCAGTGTGTGTGCTCAGTGTGTGTGCTCAGTCTGTGTGCTCAGTGTGTGTGCTCATCGTGCACGCTCAAAGTACAGTGTGCACTGTTAAAGGGAACATGTGCAAGTCACTGCACTTGAGAAGAGTCGGGAATCATAGTTGAGATTGACTCATGACTTACTTATATGACTTGTTTAAAGATATTTGTGTCCAAATCTGAGAGTTTGGTTTCCTTGTCCCCATGAGCACTTAAAGTGTCACTGGGAAGGACACCTTGCTTTTGAGTGAGTATCTGTAGTGATTGTAGAAATGCCAGCCATGTTTGCATCAGTCTGCCCCAGGGCAGCTGTGTGTACTTTCCCACAGTGGGGTGGGGGCGGGGGGGGGTGATGTATAACTGAAGCGCTTCTGAGAAACTTGTCAAACTTTAAAGCACATTCTAAATGTTGTTGTTACATAAGTGAATTCAAGTCACTGAACTCTATCGTTTCTATTCTATCCATGAGCAGAGTGACAGGTGCATGAAGCACTCATAAAGCTTTAGTGACATTTCAGCTTTGGATGGTGGAGTGAGACGGTGCAGAGGTGAGGGGTCAGAGGTCAGAGGGCAGCCCCCGGGACATCTCCACGCGCCGCAGGTGGTTGACCAGAGACTGGACGTAGGTGAAGACACACTTTGAGTCAGGCTTGTTCCCCATGATCATCATGTCCTCCACCTCCAGCAGAGGCATGCACTTAGCATACGTCCTACAGACACACACAGATACTCCGGTCAGCAAGGTACTACTCAGCATGTACTGCAGTACTCACTGTACACTGCAGTACTCACCGTGCAGGTAGTGGTACTTTGGTAAGTTGTGGTAAGTTGTTTTGAAGCCATACAAAATCAGAATATCAAGTGTATTGCCAAAAAAAAGAAATATTTGTGCAATATTAATTCTCATCCAAGAATAAAAAACTAAAACTAATGGACATATTGATTTGAATGTATTTAATTAATTATTAATTACTATACACTGTTAAAAAAAATTAAAGGAACACTTTGAAAACACATCAGAGCTCAAGGATTTCATCCTGATACCTAATGACATCAGACTGCCTTTTTCTAGCCAGTAGAGGTTTGTGTGTCCCTCCATGGATCTGACTCCCCAGAACATCACTGACCACCACCAAACTGCTCATGCTGAACCATGTTACAGGCAGCAGAGTGTTCTCCTCGTCTCCTCCAGACTCTTTCACGTCTATCACAGGTGCTCAGGGTGAATCTGCTCTTATCTGTGAAAAGCACAGGACACCAGTGGTGGACCTGCTAATTCTGATGTCGTCTTGTCAATGCCAGTGGAGCTCCATGGTGCTGGGCGCTGAGCACAGGACCCACTACAGGACGTGGTGCCCTCAAGCCGCCCTCATGAAGTCTGTTTGTGATTGTTTGGGCAGAGACATTCGCACCAGTGTTCTGTTGGAGATCATTCTGTAGAGCACAGGCAATGCTCACTGTTCCTCCTGCACAAAGGAGCAGATGTGGGTCCTGCTGATAAGTTGAGGACCTTCTACAGTCCTGTCCAGCTCTCCTAGAGTAACTGTCTTTCTCCTGAAATCTCCTCCATGTTCTGGAGATTGTGCTGGAGACACATTAAATCTCCTTGCAACAGCACACCTGCATGTACATCCTGGAGAACTTGGACAATCTGTGCAGCTTCTGTAGTGATAATCACTGGAGCCAAAGCAGCACTAGTGAAAAACCAACCAAAAAACACCAAGAGGGAGAAACACTCTAGTGTCACCTGTTGTTCATTTTCATTAAAAGAGGAGAATCCTTTTTGTTCCTAAGACATTGCCCTGTCCACATTTATAAAGATATACAACTGATTGTTTTTCACATTGAGATCTGATGTGTTTACAAAATGTTCCTTTCATCCTTTTCAAGTCTTTGCCCCAAATGACAGTTACAGACACTGACCACTAGATGTCCCTGTCTCCTCATGGTAATCCACAGTGATTTAAACACTCTATGCCTGAGACAATGTACAGAAAGATCAGATTTCTCTGGTTATTCTACATGTCTGCATCTTTTAACCTTATTTCTGGTCTTATTTCTGGAAGGACTCACCAGACCCAATGCTTATTAAAGTGCATATGGCAGCTAAGAATACTTATCTCTCATATACTCAACTGGAGGTAAAGAGGAAACTACCACTGCATGACATCACAAGGTGGAACAGAGCGTTTAGAGCTTTGGAGATGTAGATAGACAAAACCCAACTCAGTCTGTTTTTGAGAGAATAACAACATTCTAACATATCTTAAAGCTCACGAGAGTCATTTTTGTGTAATATAGGAGCTTTAACAATGACAACACAATCAACACAGTCTATGAGGGAACTTTCTAGAAGACCTGGAACCTGGCTCTCCTGTGTGTGAGGGGCCTGTTTGCCTCAGATGCCCTGTCTCACCATGTTTTGGGGGGAGGGGCGGGGTGGTCTAGCTGTTGCCCCGGGTTTTGACCAGCCCCTTGGTCACCAGCCCCCGGTAGAACTCCTGCAGGTAGGTGTACACGCACTTCCAGTCAGGCTCACGCATCTTCACCATGTCGTCCACGTCCAACAGCTGAGGACAGTCCACCATTTTCCTGAGGGACGGGAGCATGCGGGGACATAGGGACAGAAAGAGGGAGGGACGGACAGTAAGGAGGACAGAGGGGGACAGGGAAGAAGGGATGAGAGGGACAGAGAGGATGGGGGGCAGAGAGAAGGAGGAACAGAAAGAGATGGGAGTAGAGGGACAGAGAGAGGATGGACAGAGGGGAGGGGGGTGGACAGAGAGAGAGAGAGCAGTGCACAGGCAGCAGAGTGAGTGACACAAACACATTACATTGTGACATGCTTCATCTACAGCAGTGACACAGAACCACAGCACCCAAAGGTGCCTGAGGCTCCACAGCAGAACCACAGGACCCATAGGCCCAGACTTTCCACACACACACATACACAGACAGTACAGTACAGTACACGGTAAACCTGGGCTCCATGCATTTGACAAGGACCTCTCCTATAGGCTGTGGATACTAAACTCTGACCAGTCAGAGAACTTTGGATATGACACTTAACATAATCTGTACTTTACATATGAAACCTGCGCTCTACACTTACACTCAACTGAACCTGTGTCCAGTGTCTTCACCTGCACACAGAGACACATCCAAGTGTGTCTCATTCTCACTTTATGTTCAGACCTCATGTGAAGCTCAGAACCTCCAGACCTCCCTCCCTGAGCTGCAGATGCTGCACTAGCACTGACTCATGACTGGTGCAGGTGCTGGGGTTTAACACAGCACTCGTCCATCATGTCCAATGTTTTTGCAGTTAAAAATAAATCAGTCTTACTGTTAGCAGGAAAAGCTGTATTACATTTGAACATGTTTGTCTGGGGACACGAGTCGTGTCTGTTGAATTTAAAATTCTTAAATCTTAAATCCTGTCCCTTTAAAGTTCAGTAAACAGAGCATTTGTCCAAACCAAGTGATGGTAAAATAATGAAACTTATCATCTGATCTCATCCTCATTCACATGTGTGATCTCTGCCTACTCTCTCTGACTCTCTGACTCTCTGCCTCTCTGCCTCTCTGACTCTCTGACTCTCTGACTCTCTGACTCTCTGACTCTCTGACTCTCTGACTCTCTGACTCTCTGACTCTCTGACTCCTTGTAATGCATAGGAGCCACATATTACACAGATACACTAGCTCTACACACACTGGTGCTCAGGTGAGAGTGAACTACAGTGAACACTGACAGTAGTGAACTACAGTGAACACTGACAGTAGTGAACTACAGTGAACACTGACAGTAGTGAACAGTAGTGACCAGTAGTGTGCATATGTGACTGTGTTCTCTATGACAGTACAGTACATGACACCAGCTCCGTGCCCAGTCCGACTAGAGCGTGTGGGGGACACAGAGGAGAGGAGGGGGGGCTGTCCACAGCGCCACCTGCTGCATGGAGCAGTGTTTGGAGTCAGGTCCTCTGCGCTGGTGACCTTCTCAGATGGTCAGATGTTGTGTCTGCGCTCAGAGGCCGTGTGTGTGTATGTCTATTAGTCACCTGCCGTGGAGAAGGCCAGGTTGAAGTTGTGTCTGTACTCAGACAGGTTGTGTGTGAGTGTATGTGTGTGTATATGTTTGTGTGTGCGTGTGTATGGGTCACTCACTCGGCCGTGGAGAAGGCCAGGTCAAAGTTGTGTCTGCGCTCAGAGGGGTTGAGGGAGCTGTAGTCGAAGGCCTCGGGGAAGAAGTGGTGGACCAGGGCGCAGAAGGCCATGCCGTTGCTCCAGCTGGACGAGAAGTTCTGGATGTTCACGTGCTGCAGGAGGACACACAACATGAGCTCTCAGGGGTCAGAGTCTGGTACTTGCACAAGCACATGCAGACAGCCTGTCCTGTTGTCCTGTGGACCACATGCCCGTCTCACCTCGTAGGAGCGAGTCTTGGCCCTGCACCAGTCCAGAAGCATTTGTTTGATGGAGTTGGCGTTGGGGACTCCGAAGCTGGTGGAACGCTGGACCCTGTTGATCTTCACCACACCTGGACCTCCAGAGCTGTGCACAGAGAGGGTTAAACATGAGCTCCAAAGCTCAGGACACGACAATAACATATTTAACATATGGTCCAACTGTGTGTCTGGCCAAATGGCAGACCGCGCTGACGTGACGGACTTGGTCTAAATGAGGTGCATCTGGCTACTTCCTGGTCCAATGGTCAAATTCATCTAAATGAAAAGAGCTATAGCTATAGCCAGCTAATAGTTTATTGAAAAAAATAGTTCAATCTAGCTACTTAATGAGTATGAAACTGTGTTCCCTGGTGTTGGTCAGGAGGTTCTGATAAGTCCCTGTTTCTGGTGTTTGGAAAGTTGGGAACCAAAGAAGGTCTGATGATGTCACATTTAACAGTGTAGAAGTGTGTGCGTGTGATGAAGCAAAGGATCATGGTACAGTATATGAAGCAGCGTCAGGCAAGATTTTAATACACTCCAAATATCCATAACATAGTTAAGGTTAAAACAGGGACATTTTACTTCTGTGGGGTTTTACCTGCACATAACACATAACATATTTAGAACACCATGTCGACTTTTATCATTTTCAAAATGCTACATTAGTGCATTCACAGTTTTTTTAAGTTTCACTTTTGTTTCTGACTCTGGAGTGCTCACCCGGGCGTGGCGTCCTTGTCCAGCCTCTCTATCATGGCCTTGCGCGCCTGCATGGACGAGGCTTTGGGCATGGTCTGAGCCCTCATCAGCTCCTTCCTCCTCTCCGCCTGCCTCCTCTCCATCGCAGCCAGACCTCCGCCCCGGGACAGGCTGTCGTCCTCACGGTCAAACACACTGACACAACGACAACAACACACATGTCAATACTAGAGTATTGAAAATCAGATACCAATCGATACTAAAACTGGTATTGAAACTAGATACTTATTTGAGCAGATATCGATAATAAAAAAGTCCCATTGACAGGACAAAAATGAACCTTTCCTGGATGTGTTTAGAATGATGTTGAGCTGTACAGAACAAGTAGAGCACATAGACTAGTACACACATGGACCAACATGAACCTACTGGACCTCTGAGGATTACACACATATAAGACACATGGGAATAAAAAAGAAAGTACTATAATTATTTAATGTTGAAAATCACATCCTGAGGTCTAAAAAAAAGCTTTTAACTATCACCATGGCATTGGAATCAGTATTGAGTATCAAATTTATTTATTTATTTATTATTTATTTATTTGAGACGGGGACAGCGCACATTTTTTACATTAACCTTTTTTTTTTTTTTTTTTTACAGGAGAGATGCATTGTACATGAGGTTGTAGCATCAGTACTAATTTCCACCTGGAGTCCCTGGGCAGATTATTGATTGATTGTATTTAACTGACCTTGACTAACTGTCCTGGAGACCTGTTTAACATGTTTTGGGTTGATGGGGGAAACTGGAGTGCCCCGAGGAAACCCATCCAGACACAGGGAGAAACATGCAAACTCCACACAGAAAGGCCCAGGCGACCCGGGGATCAAACCCGGAACCTTTTTGCTGTGAGGCATGAGTGCTAGCCACTCAGCCACCGTGCCATTATTCCTTAGTATTGAAATCCAGTTTGAAATGTTTGTATCATGATAACACTAGTCCATACACATACATGGTTGTCTGGCCTGATTCATTTATTTTTTATGTATCTATTAAAGATGCACTTGGTTGGGGTCCCTCACCTGCTTGTTTCTATGGAGATGTCATTGTTCTGCCTGGAATGTTCCACAGTGTGACATTAAACAGATCCACTTTACATTTATTAAGTTACAGGGGGTTTGCAAGCTCAAAAATACCGAGAAAAACTGATTTGGTTTGGTCTCCATGAAAATAGAAAGGTTTAATGTCATGCTGTGAAACATCCCAGACAAAGCAATAACATCACCATGGAGAAAAGCATTTGAAAAGTGACACAATGCACCTTTAAAGTATGTATATATTTATTTTTGAAAGGTGCAGTATCTGATTTTCATTGTCTTAAAATGTGAGGAAATTAACTAGTTCATTAGAAACACTTTGCTGTGGTCCAGAGTTATTCCTCACTTACCTTATGCATTCTGAGCAACTTGCATGCAAATATGCACTTCCTGAGAGAGTGTACAGTGGTCAAATGTTGCTTATGCAATATGCCTGTATGAGGGCAAACTTAACCTAAGTATTATATGTAAGTATTTATTTCTTTACTCAATCATTTTATGTGCCTTTTTGTATTTTATTTTATTTATTTAAATTTGTAAAATATATTTTTTAGGGATGCGCAAAAATATTGATGTATCAATATATTGTATCAGTTAATGTGATGATACAGTATCGATATTGTGGGCTGCTGTATCGATATATCGCCAAGAGTATTTTGGGGTATATTTTCACTAATTATTTTGTTAGAGCACTACAGTTTTGTTGCTTGTTCAGAGGAAGGAATCTTTTTTATGTGACACATTTGACATTTTCACTGTTTTGATGACTAAAATGGACATTTTTCAGATGAACTTTGCACAAAAAGTGGTTTAACAAACACTTTTAGTATCATGATTTAGCATTTGCTTTTTATTGAACCATATCAAATCAATTTGAAATATATTGTATCGAACTGAAAATGCACTGTATCGAGATATGTATCGTATCGTGGCCTGTGTATCGAGGTATGTATCATATCGGCAACTTCTTAATGATACCCAGCTCTAATATTTTTTAATTTCAATAGCTTAAAAAAATGTTTAGTATATTGTTATTATATATTTTAAGCTACTGTATTCTGTGTAACATGGGGACATGTGTTAGTAAAATGTGCTATACAGACATACAGAACTGTGGTTTCTGCATCCAAAACATGAGTGTAACAAACCTGCCCACTTTCTTGGTGTTGGACGACATGGAGGTAGAGGAGGATGATGAAGAGGAGTAGCTGTAGGATTTGGACTGGACGGTTCCCCCTAAAACACAAACACACAACCACATTTTAAACAATTCACAATTAAAAAAACAATATTGAAACTGTTTAATGTCACTCACACAGAGACTCTAAAACTGAACAATCCTGGTCAATCCTTTCTAAACACACAGTATAATGAAGAGCTCGCCTCATTTTGGATCTGTCTCTGTATTTTAATCCTTGTGCAGTAGTCAAAACACGGCACTTGACGTCACCATTACATCATTTAGAGGACTGCCAAGTTCCTGTGTACCTGTGTTTAATTTAAATGTTTTTTTAAAATGTTTTTTCAATAGAAGTCAGTTAGAAGTGGTTCCAGAACTGTTGTGTCACCAAAAACTGTGTACGTGTCCTCTACCTGCAGGTTTAGACTCTCAGTTGGGAGTGTATGACCTTTTCAAAACGATACGAGTCCAGGCTCCACATTCTTCCTGTAACCTGTGTCAGTGTAATGCATGAGGATGATACACAGTGACCCTGGCGTTTGGACACAGTGCGACAGGCGTTTGGACCAGGGAAACAGGATAAACACCTCACAACACACAACCGTTAGATCTCCCTCAAAGGGCTAAGTGAGGAGATGGCCTTCCTCCAGTGTGTTAAACATATTAAACAGAGCCTGAGCAGAAGTGTGGGGCTGATGCTCATGATGAATAGTATAATGGCTCATATACTCTTACACACACGACACTTACTGTCAGTTTTCTGAACATAACTGGTCTCCACCACTGTGCTGCGACTGGACCTGCTCCCATCATCTGCCCACAAACACAGGAGCCGTTCAAGTGACGTATTCAAGAACAGTTCTATACACACGACCCGTCAAACGTTTGGACTTTTCATTTATGTTTACCACGTTCTACTTTTCACAATTTATGAAGCAAAATACATGAGATTATTTATGAAAAAAAATTACTCAGCTATTTTTTTATATTTTACATTCAAATCCTCACAGTATCCACCCTTTGCTTTGTTCACAGCTGCAAACCCTTGTCCTCCTCTCAATGAGCTTGAAGATGAAGTCTCCTGACATGGTTTTCATGTCAGAGCTGTGCCTCGTCTGGGTCAAAAGCACTGATAAAACTGTGTTGTTTGCTTTATACCACATGTGTCTGTGAAAAAAATGTAGATGGTGGAAAGATTTCTCTCAATCTGTCTTGTGTAAATGAATGTGATTTCTACCTGAAACCCAGACCAGTCATGAACATGTGTAAAGGTTCATCAGATACAACTGTCTCCTCCTTCAGGAAGCCCTTTGTTATTATCAACTGTTTGTTCATTTAGCACCAGCCTCTGAAACCAAAGTCACTCTGCTTTGATATGTATGTAACTTGTATTTCTGTATAAATACTCAGAGCTCAAATGCTCTGGGGAGATTCTTGGGCAAATACTGGGGAGATACTTGGAAGATGGGGCAAGACGTTGTACTGCTGGTGGAGAGAGGCTGCTGGGATCTGGCCAGAACAGACCTAGGCCCTGTCCGTATCTGCTGTGACAAGAATAAACTTTGGTCTATATTCCAAAAACTCATCAGGCTTTGCAAAAGGATTCATTATTTAACTTCAAGAGATACATAATTTTTTTCACGACATGTCAGTCACAGTTTTGATGCTTTCAGTGAGGATCTAGATTGGAAATAATCATGAAAATAAGGAAACAACATAAGTCCAAACTTGACGGTAGTGTGCCGTGTGTCTTTCACTGCAGAGAAGTAAAGTTGGCTAAATATCTGGGCAAAGCCCTGACTAACCAATTTATATAGATTTTATTCTTTTCATTGTAATATTTGTGTCTGACAATAACAAAACACATATTCAAGAACAGTAAAGGTGCACTGTGTCACTTTTCTGCTGATCTCCATGGAAACATTATCGCTTTGCCTTAAATGTTCTCCAGTTTAGCAGTAAACTAACACGCACCTATTCTGTATAAATGACTTTTCAGAGCTTTAGTTATATTTGTTCCTCATTATTTACTCATCTAAAGTTGTATTTGGAGTGATTCATGCTTCTTTGACTAATCTTTAATCATGCCTTTTCAAGACCGTTTTGCTGATCTACCCTCGTTTTCACCTCCACTAGTACACGCCCACTGTGATGTACGCACTTCATTCTCCAATATCATGTTCTTAAATCGTGATATGTGTAGGATTCTGCAACATTGTGCAGTCATTTTGGTACAAATGAAAAAGATATTTGTTGTGATGGTGTTTACGGCGACGTCAGCTCCCACTGGACACCTCACTTTTCTAACACGGAAGTCAGTGGACGTGTTTCTTTTATTAAATCATTTTAGATATTGTTATTGTGATTTAAAATGTCCAAGTTATAACATCATGAGATTATATTTATAGAGCACTATACGTCCTCTTTAAAAATACCTACAGATCTGATCTGTAGCTGGTTTAATGAAGCCACCTGCTTTTCTTCACAGACATGGATACATTTAATGCAATACTGTGCAACATTCCAGCAATGCATTAAAATCTCCATGGAGACCAGCAGGTGACAGACCCTCCACCAGAAAAGTTCCACACTGCACCTTTAATTCTATATGTAAACAAATCAAAGAGAGAATTTAAAGGTACCGGACTGTGCGAATCTCTCCGTCTTGGTCACTTGGCTGAGCGTGTTTCCATCAGCGGACTTCTCCAGCTTCCTGATGACCACCTCCCCTGTCCCCGCCCCCGCACCTGTCCCCGCCCCCCCTCTGGACGCCGTCTTCTGGTCCCTCTGCTGCCGGAGCTCCTGCAGGCGGCTCTCTCTCTCCTTCTCCCTTTGGTCTACAGAGGAGCAGAGGAGCAGAGCAGAGGAGCGTGAGGGGAGGCCGGGCCAGTGGAAAAACAGAGCCCCACACACAGATGGATGAAAGGAGACATCCAGGAATCACCTTTGACATTCTTTCCACATTAAGGCTCTGAACACGTGGGGTTCATGTGGCTCTGGTGCTGGGGAACTACTGTAAACACATCTTTTCTCAGAAGCCTAACTCTAACCTTAGCCTGACTAACAAATCAAACTACAGCAGACCTGTTCATTGTAGATAATATGTTATTCTTGGTTTGTCAAAGGCGTACTAAAATTAGTATTGAAACTCTGAGCAGGTATTGATCCAAAAAAATTACATAACTAGATAAAAATGTGACATTGACCAATTTCATCTTGAATTTGATCAGTGAACAGTATAACACCACAAGGTGTCATAAACAAATACTACAAATCAAAGAAACACTTTGAAAACACTTCAGATCTCAATGTGAAAAAAGAATCAGGTGTATATTTATATAAATGTGGACAGGGCAATGTCTTAGGAACAAAAGGATTCTCCTCTTTTAATGGAACAACAGGTGACACTAGAGTGACAACAATGACACAAGCCCTAAAACAGAACTGGTTTTCTCCCTCTTGGTGTTTTTTGGTTGGTTTTCTACTACTGCTGCTTTGGCTCCTGTGATTATCACTACAGGAGGATGAGGCTGTTCCTGAACCCTACAGAAGCTGTGCAGACTTCTCCAGGAGGCATATCCAGATGTGCCATTACAAGGAGATTTACTGTTGCTCCTCAGACTCTACAGGAGCTCAGTGATGCCCTCACACAAACCTGGAAGAACATCCCAAAAGACACTGTCGTCTCATTAGGAGTGAGCCACGACGTTGTCAAACATGCATAAAAGCACGTGGGGGCCACACAAGAAATTGAGAAGAGAAATTATTTAATTTTGGTAAAATGGACTAGACTGCCACATTATTTTCACTTCCTAAGACATTGTCCTGTCCATATTTGTGTAGATTTCCAACATATTTTCTTCACATTGAGATCTGTTATGTTTTCAGAGTGTTCCTCTGATGTTTTTGAGCAGTGTATTTTGTGTCCAAAATGACAAAATTGACTGAAAAAAGAGCTTTTAAAATGTTAATTTGGGTTTCAAAAGCAGTGACAACTAGATGACAACCCCTGCTCCTACTACTCCTACTACTCCTGCTACTCCTGCTACTCCTACTACTACTCCTACTATTACTACTGATACTCCTACTATTACTACTGCTACTCCTACTATTCCTACTATTACTCCTACTATTACTACTGCTACTCCTCTTCTTACTCGTCCTTCTCCTCCTGTTATGCTTTCTGTGAGTTGAAAGTGAGTGCAGTCTAAGTGATCAGGTTTGAGTTGACTTGATAAACATGTACACATGCGCGCACACACACACACATGCACACACACGCACGCGCACACACACACACACACACACACACACACACGCGCGCGCACACACACGCACACACACACACATGCACACACACGCACGCACGCACACACGGGCACACAGGTGGTCAGTGCACACAGCACAGCACACTGCAGTGACAGGAGTTACCTCTGGGTTTTCAAATGAAATGTAAATGTTTTCTAATGACTGGCCATAGAGATGTTATTGCTTTGTCTAGAATGTTCCACAATGGCATTAAGCCACAATTTTAATTGAAACAAGAGAAGACCATGTCACAGGTCAGATCATATCACATCCTGTGGAACATTCCAGACAGATCAACAACATCTCCATGGAGACAAGCAGGTGACACACAAACACACACACCAGACAAGTTCCGTGGTGCACCTTTAAGATTATGTCACGAGCTGCAGAGAAAACTGGAGCTAAACCAGGTCAGTGACAGTGGTTGCGTCAAAAAGGGCATCTGATGTAAAATTATGATACAAAAGTTAAAAGCAGTGACAAAGTGCAATGCCAGATTTGTAATTCCACTAATTGTATTCAAGTAACTTCCTCAGTGTTCAAACCATTTCATATGGTCACATAAAGCTTTTGTCACTTGTAGATTTTACTCAAGTAAGAGTAGTGTGACTTCAATAAACATATTATTCTAGTAGGAGTAAAAGTATACTGCAAAAAAGTACTCTGAAATGTACAATGTCTTTAAAAGGCCCATATTATGTCATAATGTAGTTTCCTCATCACAAACACACCTGGAGTTGTGTTTTGTTTTTTTTCTCAAACAGAAAATACTGTAATGTTCCACCTTGTGATGTCATGTGGTCATACAGGAAGTGCTCCACTTTGTTTTTAATCTCCATACATGTCCACTAGAATAACTTAGATGATTTCAGCCCTGGAATTGCCAATCTTTATTTATTTATAAAGGTAAAAGGAGCTGTTAACAACTACCACATGACATCACAAGGTGGAACAGAAATGGAGATGTAGACAGACTAATAATAAATAGTTACTCAAACATGTGTGAATGAAACAAAACACAACTCCAGGTCTATTTTTGAGGAGGTTACAGCTTTCTTACATTCTTACAAGTCCATTTTGCATACTATATGATCTTTAAAAAGTTACTCAAGTAAATGTAACTGTACTACCCACCTCTAAACTGCTGGAAACGGTTTCAAATGAACTCTAGTTTTGTTTTTCACATTTTAAACCTGGTCTCACTATATTTGGGATGTGTTCCTGTGACATTGTTGTGGTGATGTGATGTCAAATTCTAATATGTGAACTCCACATGTTACACAACTGTTCCAGCTCAAACTCCCTGTATGTCCACGTACAGGGTCATCATGCATCATTAAGAGTCTGGAAAAACATGTCAGATCATGCCATTCAAACACACAGCACACAGCCTCCTACCCATCTCCTCCTGAGTGCAGCCCAGCATGGCCTCTACAGGGTCATACACGCTTTATTATACACGGACATGTCTTATATGTGGATTATTATGGGCTGTCGTCGTGGTTACCTCTCTTCCTCTTCCTCAGGTCCCTCATGGCGGCGCGGATCAGCCGCCTTTCCTCAAAGTCTTTGGACTCATCCAGCTGGAAAAAAGCAGAAATGCACTTTACTATGGTTTATTACGCTCATGAGAGCATCTAAAACTCTGACTGAAAATACAAATAAAGATGAAAAAAAATCAGTTGCTTGTAAAAATTCTTGGTGAAAACAAATATTAGACAAAAAGTTTCTATTGAAAATGTTTTAGTAAGGTTAATTGTACAGACAAAATACAGATCACTTGCACATAACTTGGAACAGTATGTAGCCTGTGAAAAAGGTCCTACACACAACTGTCACAACAGGCCTCATGTGAAAGAACCTCCACGACACATGCATCAAGAAACTGGGACTTCCAGTTATTGCGCCATGCACACTGAGAAGGATATTCTGAAAAAGTGAGCATCAAACCACCATGTTTGTTTTCCCAGTGGGATGTGTCTATTGACAAAGTCGATCTTTTCAAGTCTTTTGAACCATATCACTTTTGTTTCTGGTTCTGATATTGTCAGATTTTAGTGTTGGGATTCCGACATTGTTAATTGTGTGGTTGTTGGATCCTAACAGTGGAAAACTGCTCGAGAAATTTGTTTGCGAACTTCATAAATGCAAAAGTGAATCAGATGTGTGTGACTCAAACCTCCATTCAAACTGTTTCTCTTCCCAACGGAACTGAAAAATAGTGAAAGGTGAAGGTGATGGGCAGGATTGATCCACGGGAAACACGAAAAAGGAAACCTTTGACTGCTTAAATCATCCCGAGTTTGCAGTGAACGTTTTGTATGTGGAGCGACATCAAAGTGGGATCCCGTTTGTTAAGCGAAAGGTGCAGAAGACAAACAGACTGAGCTGCACTTTCTTGTTCTTGTGGTTTTACAGCAACATCACGTCTTGTCTCTTTGCAGTGGAAGGTGTTTCTTGGTGAACAGCTGGAGCCTTTTGCTTTGGAGTTGACTTTTAAAATTCATTACCAAGGCTGAGCGAGGGATCGGGATTTTGTTTTGTCGTCGCTCCACATACAAAATGTTCTCTGCAAACTCAGGATGATTTCTTAGTAAGTCAAATGTTTCCTTTTTGGCCCTTCCTATGGATCAATCCTGCCCATCGCCTTCACCTTTCACTATTTTTCAATTCCGTTGGGAAGAGAAACAGTTTGAACGGAGGTTTGAGTCACACACATCTGATTCACTTTTGCATTTATGGAGTTCACAAACTAATTTCTTGAGTCGTTTTCCGCTGTTAGGATCCAACAACCGCATAATTAACAAAGTCCGAATCCCAAAACTAAAATCTGACAATATCAGAACCAGAAACAAAAGTGATATGGTTCAAAAGACTTGAAAAGATCGACTTTGTCAACAGACGCGTCCCACTGGGAAAACAAACATGGTGGTTTGATGCTCACTTTTTCGGAAAATCCTTCCCAATTGTGCAATGACCGGAAGTCCGAGATTCTTGATGCGTGTATTCCCTCCCTGAGCTGCAGAGGCTGCACTAGCACTGACTCATGACTAATGGAGGTGGTGGGGTAAGTTTGTGTACTTAATATGCAGCTTAAGGCCCCCAAGGCCCAGGGTTGAAACATGGACACCCACTTGAGTGAATGGGCCCAGTGTTCACATGGAGGGATGGGTCAAATGCAGAGGACAGACTTCCCTGCGGGGACAATACATTTCCCTCAACCTAGCTCTATGTGAAACGTGCTTTCTAGGCAAGAGGGTTTTCTCGCTGCAGTACCAAGGAGTGACCACTAATCCAACTTGCATCAAGAGCCTCTCCCAGGTTCAGTTTGAAACGCCCCTTTTTACTTTCGCCTGACCTGCTCCTGGTTTAACTGTGTCTAATGCCCGGGAGAGGCTGACCATTTTGTCGAGCAGCTCCTCGTCCTCGATGGCGGCCAGCGTCTCGGGGGTCACTTTGGCGGGGCGCTCCTCTGCTTTGGCGGCGGGCGTGGCTGTGACAGGGGGCGGGGCACTGGAGCCGTTGGGCAGGTCAGCCGCGGGCCGTCCCACCTGCACCGAGGGAGGGGCCGAGAACACAGGCTCAGAGGCCACGATGGGCTCTGTCTCCATCTGCAGCACACAAATACAGTCACACAGTTAGCGCTGCGGGGTTTGGTCTCGTCAGAGTTCTCCAAGCTTGTGTTTTAAGAGTTTAGTTTATTACAAAATGACAAAAAGTACAGTAAAAAACATTAAAGAGGGGATATTTGACTTGTAACACATAAGATCACCATGTTATATTCCATTTTCAGTTCTGTTTTTGATCTCTTTAACTCTTTCCCCCATGAAGACGACATTTGACGACCCAATTGTTTGCTTAATGACGTGTTTTGACACCTCCGCAGTTTCACTAAAGACGTGATTTGACGACCATTAGAAACGGTTTCTGGAAAACAGCGATGGCGATGGAATTTCAGAGAGTGAAACTTACAAAGGTGACAATGGTGCAAACTATCGGGGACTTTATACTCGATTATGAACCAAAATTGCAACATCTGGATGTTGCTCAGGCGAGTGCTTTAAAATATTTCTGTCTCTTTTTCCAAGATGTGATGTATGACAGAATTGCTACAGAAACAAATGCTTGCACACGAGAAAGTAGCCATGACGACAAATACTGAACACCCACTGATGGGGAAGAGTTTTATTATTATATTATTATATTATATTACGTTAAATGAGTTGAATAAGTTAAATGGAAAAAACACACACAGATGAACTACAGGTAAAAACAGGTGTACACTTGGCTATACTGTATCTGGTGATATGAAATCTGTTTAAATACTCTGACAAATATATATATATATATATTTTAATGAATATAGTACTCAGAAGATGCATATATCAGAAGCTGAATGTAGTTTTTTGGTTTTGATTTTGCACCTGACCAGGTAAACTCTCATTTTCAGTGAGCTGTTTTAAACCTGTAAATGAGTTGAATCACATTTAAACATCCAGAAATGAAGAGTTCAGTTGGGTCTGGTCAAGTGGTAACGGAGGGAAACAGGGGCAGATTTTTGACATTCAAATGTCTCTTATTCAGAAACTAGAGGGACTATTGAAATAAGTAAAGTATCAGAATGTAGGAAAGAGTTACACTCCAACAGGGTCAAGTTAAACCTGTGATATTCTTTCAAGTTGTTGACAAAAAATTTAAAAACTCATGTCGGTAACGGAGGGAATGAAATATGCAGCACTTTTTGGGCAATAAATCCAAACAGTGATAACTCTTGGTTCTCACTTCCATATCCTTAACAAACTGGTTTGAATATTTGCTTCATATAGTTTTCTACCATATGGTACAAGATTAGGTTGAAAAACCTCTTACTTTTTGACTCATGAGATTTTTTATTAAGAAAGTTCATGGTAACGGAGGGAAAAGTAACGGAGGGAAAATTGTTCAAACAAGTAGAAGGTGCAGGATTTTACATCATTTGTCACTTTTTTCTTCCGAATACTTTAATATTACTTCAAAATGAAAGGAAACTATTTCTATAAAATATGTCAGTCCTTCCAAGCAAATTTTTATCATTTTAAATACTTTTATTTTTTTTTTAAATCCTGTACCTTCATCAACAGTTCAAAGATGGAATAACACAAGATATGATGAAATACATCCATTTATTGACATGATTTGCAGGTCTTTGAAATTTGGGAAATAATTTTTGTTCCATGTTTCATACATGGTCTGTTTAAAACGTATGGAACTTTAGAACCAAAAAGGTACAGAAAAAAGGTCAACAGTTTCATAAACTAGAGTACATATGTATCTGTTCAATACATTTTTATATCAGATGCATTAACATGAATTTTTGGCCTTGATGTTTACTTCTACTTGACTGGGCCCAGATACTAAATATGTCTGTGTTTCAATTAAGTTCATGAGTGTGAAAATCATTTATAATCACTCGTGGAAGTCTGTTTTCTTTTTCAGCTCTAGTCATATATGTATGGGCTGTTCTTAGTGGGCGTTCAAGGGGGAAAGAGTTAAGCAAGAAAGTTTTCATTTTATAAACAGGACAAAACTGTCGCATATATCAGATTCATTCAGAGACCATCAGCTGTACGTGATTTTTGGTTCATTGTATTTTAGTTTTAATGTCTTTTTAAAAATAAACTATATTATATTACATGTAATACAATATAATTAGAATAAAGGGCTCATAATACACTATTTTCTAATCCATGTTATAATGCTGTTTCCTCATCTCATTCACACATGTTTCAAACACAAACCCAGCATATTTCTTCTTTTAAACAAACCACTCTGGTAAAACAGGAAGTGCACCGCTGTGTTTTAACTCCATACACCTTCACTAATCTCTACTCAACTACAGGTAAAAACAACAGCTGTTAATCTGAAACCTACTGCTGCATGACATCACAACGTGGAACAGAACATTTTGAGCCTTGGAAATATAGACAGACAAATACTGCAGTGTTCCGCAAACATGTGAATGAAACAAATGAAACAGAACCCCTCTCCGGGTATACAACAACATTATACCACGGAGTAAAGATCACAAAAGGCAAACGGGCAGTGCACATAAAAGGGAAAAATATTTAGTTAAAACTGTCAAAAGATCCAAATGAAATTAAAACATGTTTTCAAAATAAACACTGAACTTCTTAATATGATGATTCAAGAAGTAAAAAAGTCCTGCATTTAACTTCACATCAATAAATGACTGCAAATGTAAATGTAACCCACAGCTCTCTGTCGGAAACACAAATATTATTATTATTAACACGGACGTACTGAGTGCTCCAAATCTGCCTTCATACATGTAACTCCATGTGAGGTATTCTGGCACAGCAGTCATAGTAGTAGCTGTAGTATCACTAGTAGCAGTAGCAGTAACAATAGTAGTAGCAGTAGTAGTAACACAGTATGACTCAACTGGGTTTATTCATGCACCTCAGTTGTAGTAGCACTAGTAGTCATAGTCTTAGTAGTAGTTGTAACAATAGTAGTAGTCTGGTTTTGTAGTAGAGTTTTTTTGGCAGTGTAGTAGTAGTACCCCTCTGCTTTATGTGATGATTTTTTGCATAGTAGACCTGGTAGTTTTAGTAATAGAAGTAATAGGACCCTTTATGCACCTGTATTTGTTCTGAGGTATAGGCGAGTTTCAGCTGACGTCATTGTTATTAAAAGCCCGTGTTGCATGCTGGGAAATATTTTGGTCGGAGGCAAGAAACACGATAGCGTCAGACACAGTAACCTCGCGTATTTCTCCCCGATAATGGTAAATACCTGCTGCATTATCAGATGCACAAATAGAAGCACGGAAGAAGGAAAATGTCTTTTTCGTATTCTGAGTGAAAAGAACCTCTAACGATGAATTAAATGTCTTTCAAACTTTCGCAGAGCAAACGTAGAAGATCCTAACAAACCGTGGACTCCAACAAGTTCAACAACACATCGAGACTCTTGGAGGTTTTCATCTTTTCTGCTGTGAATGGCCCAGGAGTTTCCACCAAGTCATTGTGGATATCACCTAAGTGAATATTTGTCCAGGTAGTTGGTGATTCTGACCAGATGGTTTGGTCCACCTTTTGTCGGGGTTGAAAAGGGTGATTTGGCTCCGTCGATGCTTATGACCAATTTCTGGTCAAATGGTCTTGGGTCCTCTGCCGTTAGAGTGGAGAAATAACCGGGATCAATACCCTTTACGTGCTTTCTCGCTCCGTCCGTCATGTTGAATTAGACCAAAATAATTAGTAGTTGTCGTAGAAGACCTCCGCATGAGTCCTTTTAGCACAGTCATAGTAGTAGCAGTAGTAGTAGTTGTAGTAGGAGTAGTACCCTTCTGCTCCATGTGAGGTATTTTGGCACAGTAGTAGTGGCAGTAGTAACAGTAGTAATTGTATGACCGTAGTTGGACATGTGTGTGAGGCATGTGACCCGAGCCTGAGGAGCTGAGCACAGCTGCATGTCTCACTCAGGGTCAGGGCTGTGGAGCAGAAGAGCCCATCAAGTCCTCCAGCTCTGACGGACCACCTGGACATTCAGGTTCATCCAGGACACCCAAGGGAGGCAGTGTAACGCCCAGGTCATGGACATGGTCTATGGCCTGTACATCATAATACAGAGCAGGGATCTCCAACCTGTAGCTCAGGAACTACCAGTAGATCTCCAGCCCCTTCCAAATAGCCAATTTCTGAATTATACGTATTGTGCTTAATAACTAAAATTGGATTCTTTACCATTATAAAAGTATCACAGGTGCCTAACTTGTGCACAAATAAATGGATAATGCTTTATGTTTTATAAGCATCTAACTGTTCCCCGTCTAAGGTTTGCCATGGTTCCTATACTTTCTCAGTTTCTTGCACTCTCTGGCATTTGTGTTTGTAAAGGAACTCACCAGGCAAAAAAAGGTTAGGGAGCCCTGATATAGAGTCTCAATCCAAACAAAATCATAATTTGACTGATACAATAGACTCTGTGCTCAACAGCAGTAGGGTGACCATATTTCCATTTGTGGGGGGTAATTACTACTCGCCTGTGTATTACAGGCGAGTAGTAATTACACACGGGTGGCTCAGGACTAAACCAGGTCTAAACCAGGACTAAACCAGGACTAATCTAATGCGTTTAACTCCGTGAGGTGCGGAGCTGAGCCGGACCTTTCTTCTTTGTCACCTCTGAGCCCGTCCTGATGGTGAGTCCTGTTTCAGTTTTGGTTTAGTCCTGGTTTAGTCCTAGTTCAGTCGTGGATTAGTCCTCCTCTTCAGTCCTGGAATCAGTCCTGGGTTAGTCCTGGTTTAGTCTTGGTTCAGTCCGTGGTGTAGGCAGCGCAAAAGTTTGATATAATCTCGGGTTAACGGGCAGGTGCGGTCCTGTCCTGCGCGGGTGCGGTGTTGTACTGCAGGTCTCCAAAAATGGACCCGTGCAGGACTCTGCGCTGTTGGGCTACATTACGGAATAAATGAATGTTCAGTTTGTTACATAAAGAAGGAGGAAAATAACACAAGGACGACAGCAGCAATAAGTTTTAAGAAGGAAGTAAAAAGGGTTGCACCTGTCCTGTCTGAGAAAAGTGTATAAAGGGTGTGGTGAGGGGTTT